ATCTTCCTCATACAAACTCCGTTTTCGATGTTATTTATATCCACGCGTAGGTGAGACTACGATCTACAACTTTCATTTAGACTCCGTCGTCTAATTTTGACTTTATTTTTATTATTTATTTTTAGTAGGCCGGGACAGGAAAATTCCGTTATAAATTCATAACTTCTTCATCCGACGTCCGTTTTTGCCTATCTTTTTATCGATTTACTCCTATTAACGAGACCTTCGATTCTTATTTAGATTGTTTCGGCTAAAAACTGCTCGATCTCAAATCGAGTATTCGGGTTGCATAATGCTAAGTCGAAACTTCAAAAAATCATAACTTACTCATACGAAGTCAGATTTGGGCGTTCTTTTTATGCACACTCTTGGTTTAATGAAATCTACGACTTTCGTTTAGATCACTAAGGCTAAATATTGCTCTAACGTAAATTTCACTTTTTACGTCATTCAACATTGTCGGTTCTGTCGCGAAACTTCGACAGGTCATAACTTATTCGTTATAACTTGGATTTCGGCATTCTTTATATATTCGGAATCCTTGTTTCGACCACTACATCTTTATGCAAAGATATTGGGATTATCCCACACTTCAAATTCGATGCTTATTTTATTCTTAATTAATCAAACCACATAATTAAGCAATTAAGCACAAAACACATAATACTCAAATAATACACTTCAATTATTTCAAAATGGGTTACAAATGTTAACCTAGAGTATTATATCAACATTAATGACAGGCCCAAAAAGACAGGCGTTACAACTTGGAATTGATGTTTTATACGGGTGTTAAATGATTCAAACTATATATGTATTTTATATCTACAAAATATGTTGGGTAGATTAAATAGTTGCAACTATGAGACGTAGTGCCTATTGTATAAACCTTGGTGACTATGGAGTTAATGCCTATTGTATAAACCTTGGTGATTATGGAGTTAGCACCTATTGTATAAACCTTGGCGACTATGGAGTTAGCGCATGTTGAGTAAACCTTGGCGACTATGGAATTAGCACTTGTGGAGTGAACCTTGGTGAGTATGGAGTTAGCACCTGATAACTATGGATTTAGTACCTGATTGATAAACTTTGGCAACAATAGACTTCGTGTCGATTCCTTAGGTAAATCCTTAGGAACGAATGAATATGCGGACTCGGCGAGTAAATTGGGAAAGAGTGACTCGGCGAGTCCATGTGCGGACTCGGTGAGTAGAGTCGCGACTTGGTCGCGTGTTAAGTGGCCGACTCGGCGAGTCAGGGTAATGGACTCGGCGAGTAGGCGCTGAGTGGAGAAAACCCTAATTCTCGGGGTTGAGCCTTATATAAAGATCATTATGTTTCCCTCTCAGCCTCTTTATTACCCCTTGAGCCCCAGAAAACCCTAAATCACGAAGAAGCACCATTGTTGGATGGATTGGAGCTTGGAGAATGTATTTGTGAAGGAATTTTGGGAGATTGAAGGCTTGGAGCAAGGGGCTTTGTTTGAATTCGAGTCTCATTTCAATTGGGGCATTCCTTTGAGGTAATATCTCGTTTTTTTGAGCTGCTATTTCTTAGATGCATCATTTTGGGGGTGTTGGAGATCATATCTTTGGATGTATTGGAGTTTAGAGGTTAGATCTGAGGTTGCTACCTCAGATCTGGAAGGGAGAAGGTCTAGAGTGCATGAAAGTCCCTGTTTGTGAGTGGTTGATGGAGCCATCTTGTCCCAAATCCTAGCCCAATGTGCAAACGGCTTAGATCTCTTTGGATTCACGTAAAGTTTGCCACTTTACGTGATGGATGGGTTGTAGGAGGCTAGATCTATGTTTTGGATCAATTGCATGGCCTGAAGTGCTTCTGAATAGATTCAGAACGGTGGTACTCGGCGAGTCACATGGGTCGACTCGACGATTTGCTTGAAGATGGTCTGGAACTCGACGAGTTGGAAGAACAACTCGGCGAGTAGGTTGAAGATAGCCTTGGACTCGACGAGTCCATTTGGACTCGGCGAGTCTTGTCGAAGAGTCCCAAATATTCTCTGGTTGAGTCGAGAATCGGTGAGTCAAGGGATGACTCGGTGAGTCGTGTGCGAGTGGACTCAGAGTTGTTGGACTCGGCGAGTCTCGGGGTGACTCGGCGAGTTAGGTCGCAGATTGAGTGAAGTTCTGATTATGGGAACTCGACGAGTGACAGGGTTGACTCGGCGAGTAGGGTCAGTCAGGGGTTGACTTGGACTGATGACTTTGATTTCGACCAAGGGTTGGCCGTTGACTTTTAGGGTTTGGTCAGCGATGTGGCCTTTGGGCCGAGAGAGAGGTAAAATAGTCTTTTACCCATAAGAGGGTGTTATGAGAGGATTTATTCTAGTCTCGAGAGTTGTATTCATGAGAGTATTTGCCTTACGTGTTAGGCGGTGGCGAGTTCAAGATTCAAGTGTGGGGATATCTGCTTTCTGCTTTCCAGGTGAGTCTTCTCACTATACTTTACCTTGAGTAGGTAACCAGAGTTATGTGATTAGAGTATTTGTATGCTATATGTACGTGATGTGTTGTACTGCATTATTCTATGTGATTTATGCTGTGCATGTGTATAGAGTTGGAACCGGAAGGTTCCCAGAGTTAGAACCTGAGGGTTCACAGAGTTTGGGTGCACGGACCCATAGAGTTATAGCCTCGAGTGGCTAATATGTGTTATGTGTGGTATTTTGGGGAACTCACTAAGCTTCGTGCTTACAGTGTTTTGTTTGATGTTTTCAGGTTTCTTTCAGTATCACGGGACGGCACCGGCTTGATTGTACACACCAGAGAAAGAGTCATATTTTGGAGGATCCTGGTTTTCTATGCAAGAGAAAATGGAGTTATGTTTTGTAAATCGACTATGAATGAGATTTTAAACAAGTGTTTCTAAGAATAAAATGATTATTTTAAATGAAAAATTTGTCTTGAAATTTACGGTGTTCCAGAATAAAGGATATTTGATTCTTAGGGTAAAACCTTAAGAAATAAAGAAGATAATGGGGATGGGTAATTGGGTTGATTGCTTGATGATTAAATATAATTAATATATTATTATAGGTTGAAAACCCTATATGCTTACCAGGCTCCCAAGCCTGATCCACTCAGTTTTCTTTGCATTACAGGTAATGGCACAAGAGTATAAGTTGGTGAACTTGACGAGAGATTTTGGATTATAGATCAGTAGTTACAAATAACTGTTGTAAGGTCTGTATTATACTGTTTATACTTTTGCTCTGTATCAGAACATGACATCCCGAGGTTTTATTATTTAATGAAAATACGTTCTCTTTGAGAAACGTTTTGATAAATTTTATCATATTTTGTTTTGGGAACAAATTCCGAAACTCTTTTAATCAAAGGATTACTCTGATTTTATAAGACAAAACATAAACAAATCGATCTTTTCTAGCCGAGAAATTAGGGATGTCACATAAATGATTTCAAACAAACTTTATAAAACACACCTAGCTCAAAACAAAGAGATACATTAAACATATATGAGACTGATTGATACCAAAATCGAATGATGGAGAATTAATTTTTAACCAGAGAAAGAAAACTCACCAGATTCATAACAATGGCTTATGTCCTCTTTACGAACCCTAAATCAGCCCTTGGATATGCCTATGATCCTTCGGAATCACGTAACTTTATCCTGTTGAGCGAGGGAGCGTAGAACGGTAAAAGTTGGCGTGATTCATTTGATAAGAGCGTATGAATTTTGTTATCCTAAAATGCCCCTGATTAATTTAAAAAACATGCCCCCATGCTTTTTCTTTCCCATGTATTTACAAAATTGCCACAAAAGATCTTAACCATTGTTTATTTTGATTTAACGATCTCCGTTTGGTTCTCGGGTTCTCGGGAAACTATAGGTTCTCAAATGATCATTCCCCCCCCCCTCTCTCTCTCTCTCTCTCTCTATATATATATATATATATATATATATATATATATATATATATATATATAATAAACTCTTATTAAATTTTTTTGGACTATTTGGTTTTATGTTTATAAACCGTAAACAATGGATTGTCTAAAATAAGAATTCGGTTTTTCTAGAAACTGATCCAAAAATTCTAAAATTCGAACCAAATTGTCTAATTGGACAATTCGTTTTTATCCGAATAGTAAACAACCCTAATAATTATAAACAAAGTTATAGTAAGATAAGAATATATATATATATATATATATATATATATATATATATATATATATATATATATATATATATATATATATATATATATATATACGTTCAGGTTCATTTGAGACCATTCTAATTTTGTGAGACCGTGAGACCAAATCTAAAAATAATTTTAAAATGCAAAATAAATAGAAAAAACCAAAACTTCTTTTTTTAAATATTATTTTCGGAACTTGAATTAATTAAAAAAATAAAATAAATAAAATAAAATCCATTTTTTTTGAAAAATACGTGAAATATTCTAATAGAATATTACACTGACATATTTCTAAAAAATAATTTTAAAATTCAAAAAAAATCTAAAAATTCTTTTTTTAAATATTATTTTCGGAATTTGAATTAACTAAAAAAAATAAAAAATATAAAAAATATAAAAAAAATTCCATTTTTTTTTGAAAAATACATGAAATATTCTAATATAATATTACACTGTACATATTCTAAAAAATAATTTTAAAATGCAAAATAAATGGAAAAATCCAAAAATTATTTTTTTAAATATTATTTTCGAAACTTGAATTAACTAAAAAAAATAAAAAAATAAGTCTCACGGTCTCACAAAATTAAGCCGTCTGACATTAACTTAACCATATATATATATATATATATATATATATATATATATATATATATATATATATATATATATATATATATATATATATATATATATATATATATATATATATAATAAGGATTTTTTTTTTTTTTTTGGGTCAGAACTAAGAAGCCCCAAAAACAAAAACGTTGATACTTACTTTTTCTCCAATAGCTTCCGCACAAATAGCTTTCGCACATTCTCTTTGCCTCTCTGCCTCTGCCGCTCCCTCTCTCGCACAAATAGCTTTCGCACAAATATCTCTCTTCCTCTCTAATAATGAATCCAATAATAAGACCATCAAAGACGTTTTGGGGTAACTAACCAACTGTCTACATTTTTATAGCTACACTCTGTTTATGTCTTCCTTTTCAATTATGTCGTTACGGTTTTTTTTTTATGAAAATTTGGATCTTTTTTTTTTTGATAATGATGCCGGTAACGTGTTTAAACCCGGTTGTTTGATCTGGTGATTGTTTGAAGAAATTTCTCTTTCTTATTAGCAAAGAGTATGTGCAAGTGTTGGTCTAGATTTTAAGATTGTGTTATACTTTTTCCATGTTCGTAAATTTACTGTTGGCAACCAAAATCCAGCCTAGAACTTTGTTTTTAGGTAGCGTATTTGCTACATGTATATAAACAAGTTTTTTTTTTTTTTGGTGTGTGTGTGTATTTTGCATCTACAAAGCCTGCTTGTGTATATAAATTGGATGGTTTCTGTTTGTGTATTTATGTATCTTTGAAACGGGCAATAAATTGGATTTATAAGATTGCATTTATGAGTGCTAGTTGCATCATTGCGCTTGCTATGTTACAAATATGGTGATTGTGGGTGTTTATATAGGCACCGGTGTTTAAGGTTCATATTTATGAACACAGCCCTAAAAATATATTGTGAAAAAAAAATGGTTGGTTGTATTCATATCAAATGTATTTAACACTACCTTTCTGTTTTGTTTCACGTGTTACCTTTTTCCAACTTGTATAGTTTTTTCAATTTTTTTCACACTCATATCCTTTTGATTTAGGTATTGAGCTTCAAAGTGGTGAATCGTTTGATGTCAACCTTGAAGACAAATTTTTGCGTCTTACACTGGTATAAAAAACAACACTATAACTTTTGCAACACTGGTATATGCTTATTTTGCTATGTACGTTATCAATACAACTAACTAAATTTATTTGTGCTCAGGTTTCTCTTATAGAAATCGAGAACGAAACACCAGATTTTATTTCCTTGCACATCACTGAGAATGGCAAAAAGCGCGTATTTGCACGCCTTCACCCTAAGAGGCGGCCACAACTACCATTGGATGTGGTGTATGGCCAAAGTTTTCAGATCTCACACAACAGGAAAAAAGGCAGTGTCTACATCTTTGGATATAAAATTAAACTACCTAGTTACCTACCTAATTCTAAGCTTGGATATCCTTTTCTCAAACATATTGTTTTACTAACTTAGAAGTTAGAATCTCTAAGTTTATATTGGTTTACTATTGAGGTTGGTTGTTTTGGCTCCTTGACCAGTTTGTGATCACTTTCTCTAAAGATGATACAAGTTCTGACATGATGATGAGGTACATAAATTCATAAATGTTTTCATTGAAGTTTTCATGTAGGGTAAAAACGCTGATGCATTGTTTTTTAGGATAACGATGATTCCTCATGATGAAAACAAAGATACAACAAAGGTTAGTTTTGATATTTTTAATTGAGATAGAATTATATCATAATTTTTGTATGTTTTGATATTTTAGCAGCAATACCAAAAGAATAGACTGAATGTGTCTGCAAGTATGAGTCTTCATAAATGTAGGAGTTCCATGTCGTAAATGGACTTTGTGTGTTTGCAATAACTTTGAAGACAGAGAATGCTAATTTGATTAGTAATTAAGAGATAGGGTTGCAGATTATGTTGATGAGTGACGAGGGTTGTTTATAATGTCATGGTGTTTAGTAGATTTGATGTAATTAGTATGAAAAAGACATCATATCCCGTCTTTATGTCGTGAAGATTAATGATGGCAAGTATAGTAATTTGCTGTTTTGACTCCTTGACAAATTTAGTAGATTTGCTGTTTTGATTCCTTGACCAAGGGTGTTAGTATGAAAAGACATGATAAATATAAGAGTGTCAAGTCTTTATAAAAATAAAAAAGAAAGAATGTGATACTATTGAAATTTGTTGTGTCGACCTGGAAAAATAACCCATAGCTTGTTGACAGAAATAAGACCAACTTGTTTTGATTTTGGTTGCCAAACAGATTGGTTTGATGTTTTTAACCTAAATTCAGACAAAAACCGATTTTAATTCCTTTTTTTGGGATATTTATAACACTACAAGAAAAATCCTAAATAACTACGGAAAGTTACTATGGAATTAAAATCTGTTGCTATTTTACTGCGGAATATGCTACGGAACGATTTGTCGTAGCTATTATGCTACATAAATGGTTACGGAATTGTATTATGTAGCTAAATCTTAAATAGCTACGTAAAGTTGTTACGAAATCTAAATTTATAGTTATTTTACTACGAAATATGTTACAAAATGGTTGGTTGTAACTAATTTGTTACGGAAATGGCTACGGAATTGCATTCCGTAGCTAAATCTTGAATAGTTGCTACGGAATTAAAATCCGTAACTAGTTTACTACAAATAATGCTACAAGTTTTTTGGTTGTAGCAAGTAGCTATGGAATTAGGGCTCGTAGCTATTTTGCTAGGAAAATTTGCTACAAAATAAAATTTTGTAGCTAATCTATTATGAAATTTGTTACAAAAAGGTGAATTTGTAAAAGAGCTACGAAATCAAAATTCATAAGTATTTGACTACGGAAAATTCCGTAGTTAAGTAGTTACGGAATATGTTTCCGTAGCAAAATATACTACTCCACATTTGTTTGAATGTTTATTAGGCCAAAGGGTATATTCACTAGGTATTCACTAGAAAAGTGATGTCACCTATGCGCCACATCCATCCACTTACATGTTTACTAATCCTTGAAAATGGTTATCCCTCCACATTGTTTTTATTTTTCTTTTATTTATTTTTTATTTTTTACATTATATTAGTAAAAAAACCCAATAAAACATTAGCAAAAAACACATTAATAAAAATAAAAATAATATTTTTTTAATTTTTTTCCCATTACATTAATGGTGTAATTTGTTTTGTATATTGTTATATATTTTTTATAAAATTAAGTTAATATAATATAATTAGTAAGGATATATATTGGAAATATAGAAATTGAAAGAGGTTATATGTAAATAATATATAAATGGAAAAGGTGATATATGTAAATAATATATAACTTAAAGGGGTGTTATATAAAATTACCTCTAAATTGAAAAGAAAAATAACAAAGTTGTACACCAAATTTTTTTGTGATGTGAATATTTTGTTTTGACGGTAGTAAAGCCCCGCATACCTCATGGCCTTAAGGGAAATTAGAAAATCTACTTCTTCCCCAACCCCAAATTAGAGGTATCACGTTCAAAAGATCGCATCTCTCCCTCTCTCAACCTGCCGCCGTTGTTGCTTAGCCATCATCACGCCGGTCGTTGCTACTCACAAATGGCTACGGAATTTGCTACGGAACAAAATAGATACGGAATTTACTACATAATTCATTGTTACGGAATTGTGATGGAAGTGTGTTGTAGTTGAAATGCTACGGATAAACGTCGTAGCAACGACCATAGCAAAATTACTACGGAACTATAATTTCGTAGTTAAACATTTTGCTACATGAAATTTTACTATGGAATCTCATTGGTAAATTCCGTAGCAATTTCCGTAGTTATTTAAGTTTAGCTACGAAATTACATCATTTTGCTACGGAATTTTTCCGTAGTTAAATCGAAAGTTTCTTGTAGTGTAAATTTATTATTGTTTTATATAATTATATATTATTATATATATAATCAAATGAGAACATCCTTATGAATAGTAAAACACTGACCTTTTGCCTTCTAAAACTTTTGTCACATTAGTTTGGGTTTGTATGCTTTTGGTCCCTAATTTGAAGTTTGCCTGCTTTTCATCCATCTTTAGCTTCAATAGATACCCTATCCATCTTTTATATCCTGAGCTTCAATAGCTACCATAGCATGGAGATACTTTTATAGTTATTGTTAATGGTCAAGATATTTTGGGTTGACGAAATAACTTTTAGTATAGAAAGGACCTTTCTAGATTTGGATGTGTATTTAAGTGAATATTTTCCGCTGTTAAATTTGTTTTTTTACAAACGTGACAATTTTAGGATTTTTAAATGGTTAAACCAAATAAGTATTATATGTTTATTTTTATTGAGTGCATAATTTTATGTGATTGTGTTTTTTCAGAATCAAAATAAAATTCCAATAGTTAAATAATACAAAATACAATAGTTTAACAAATAAAACTTCCGCAATGATTTAGAGGACATTTGTGAATTGTGAGTTCATCTCAAAACAACTTATTAATTTATTGACTTTTTAAAAGGTAAATAAGTAAAAAAAAAAATGTTTGACAAAAAGAAATGTACTTTTAAAACAAATTTTCTTTAACCCATCAAAAAAGAGATTTAAAAAAGTTATAATTTGTAATTTTTCTAAACTTTTAATGACTTTTTAAGTTGTAAAAATCAATATTAACCAAAGCGGAAAATAGGTCGACAAATATTGTTTGTCTAAAAAACAGACGATTACACCATACTTATTAGCACCAATGAGGAATCCAATATCTAACATAATTATTTAATATTCATTGTGCAGAACCCAATCTAGTGAAACTTAATGAGTGATGTAAGTTATTTATATAATCCTAAAAAATTATTGCATACCTTCCCCAATTTTCTAATAACTCTTTGTATAATTTTGAGTGGATTTAACGCTAATAATTTTGACTATACTTGAGGGAGATAACTAGTGCTCGAAATCCACACTTTCCATCTCCCATCACATCTTCAGTGTTTGTAACGTATGGATGAAATTCATTTAGAATTTCACTCATAAGTGGATTTGAATTAAATACTAAAGGTTGTTGAAAAGAAAATGTATTGTGCCTCTCTGGTTCCTGGTTTGAATCAAACTAATTAGACCCTCTATAATTTGATATATATGTCGCAAAATTATGTCTACGAGGATACTGAGTTGGTGGAACTTGAGGTGGCAGAAAATGAGGTTTTATTTGTGTGCTGAACCACGAACATCCACTGTGTGCTTTGTTTTTGTGAGAAGTATGTTCCCGAAGCAAATTTATTAATGGCGAAAATATATGTTTTCACTTCTGCACCCAACAGAACTTACTAAATCTTGATTGTTTTTAATTGTGTGTTAGACCTTTGGCCTTCAACATCAACATCAATGTCAACACCAAGAACATCTTCTTCTAGAAAGATGCATGGATCTAAATTATATATATATATATATATATATATATATATATATATATATATATATATTCGAAAAGATATGATTGGAATAAAGTGGTATTGGATTTCTATTTTTTAAATATACTCCTTGTTTGTGCACACATAATAACCCAAGTGTAGTTGCATTCGGTTTCCTTATGCATATAGACAAATGCTACACAAAAGGTATGATTAGTTGGAGTCACACCAACTATTTCGAGGAGGGGAGTCTCATACTATTTGTTTTGTATGTTGTATCCATCAACATAATATTTGGGAATGCACACCACATATCCAATGATCTTTGGTGAGCAAAAAACAAATCTTGACGCTTGTTTGTTGATGTATCTGCATGACTATAGTAGATATAGCAATTCTTAGCCAAAAAAGACGTAACAACCTGTATTTGAGTTTTGCCACTAGTTTCCTTCATTCTGAATTTTTGGCGTGCATTATATCTAGTTGGAAGAATGGATAATTTTTCTATATTTTACTTCTTTAATGTAGATAATATATCTGTTGGTTTCACATTTTTTCTTATCAAATCTTCCACCAATCGGGTTTCATCTTCAGAAAGACGCCTTGGACATGGGTGACCTTCTAAATATAAGGAGGGTTCGCGATTATGTATTTCACATATGGCTTTTAATGACTAACAATTATCTCTCTATGAATACTTTCCTTTTAGTGCAAATGGACAATTTTTTTTGTACCGGTATTTTTTGTCGATATTCTTTTAGTTATGTGTGTACCACCACCACCATGATCACACTAAAAAACTATATTTGAGTTAGTAGTGGATCTTTTTATTACAATAATGTAACCAAGTCTCCACCTTGCATTGTGGACCTAGTCTATTAGTTGTTGACGAGAATTAAATACCTAAAAATTATTTTTTTATTGGATACAACTTATTATTTAATAACTATATTAATAAATCTAAAACTTTATACCATGCTAGTTTCATATTCTAATATGTCACTGATGAAAATAAATATTTTCAGGATCGTCATCTTGAAGTGCATTGTTTGTCTAAATATCATTAACCTAATCAATACATACAAATATAAATATGTGATTCATAAAAACATAAACATCTAAATAATATAAGCAAATACACCTCGTCATTTAACTCATCAAACGATGAAAAATATTCTGGCCAACTCATTTTTTGTTTAAGCATAACGTTTTTCAAAATATCCTACAATGAAAATAAAGTTTATGAGTTGATTATTTATAGTAAAACTTTGGGCTTGAAAAGCAATACTCGATAAATTATAGGGGACCATAAATGTAAATATCTTTATATTATTTTGAATTGATCGTGGGATTCAACAAATGCAATGCAGTTACTAAATAATTGAACTGTAGGGTAAGTTAAAAGATCATAAATCTAAATATGATTATATTATTTTGATTTGATTGTCGAGTAATATTTTGAATACCTAAAAATGATTTTTTATTGGTATCGTCATCTTAAGATGCACTAGTTTTATAAATATCATTAACATAATCAGTACGAATATGAATATGCCATTTAAATAAATATAAAAATCTTAATAGTAATAATGAAAAATAGCTCATCATTTGACTTGTGAAACGATGACAAATATTATAACAACTAATTTTGCTACTAAGGATATCGTTTTCATATTTCCATACACTGAAAATGAAGTTGAAGGAGACGTCTATTGATAGTAAAACCTTGGGTATGTAA